GAGAGAGAGAGAGAGAGAGAGAGAGAGCATTTATGAAATTTGTTTCTGAAAAGAATCTTGTTTCCTTAACACTTCAAAAATTACTAGAGACTGAGAATATCCTCCAGATAACTAGCTCTCCATATACCCAACACCCTAGAAGCAAGAGAGTCAACAATCTCATTAGCCCGTCCGGAACGTAACTCAACTTACTATAATAGAGCTATTAGAATACAATCCTTGGTTTCTTCAAACTACCGAAAATTCTTTAGAACTATAAGACTTTGCTTTCAACCTTTGGAAGATTTTAAATGCTGGTTTTTCTCTTCATATACCCAACACCCTAGGAGCAAGAGAGTCAACAATCTCATTAGCCTGTCCAGAGTGTAACTCAACGTACCACAATAGAGCTATTAGAATACAATCCTTGGTTTCTTTCAAACTATCAAAAAATCTCTCGAGAACTATAAAACTTTGCTTTCGAGCTTGGAAGATTTAAATGTTGGTTTTTGTAAAAGCAAGTAGGCTCTGATATTTTGGCACCAAGTATTTGTAGGAAAGGAGGTGACGCATATTATAAACTAAAAGACCTAAGCATCACTTCGACCTGTTGGGTACAAAATGATGTGTCTGAACCCTATATAGTTCCATCAAACATCCTTTGTTGTTTCCATCTGCCTCCTTTAAGTCAACAGGTATTATAAGGATGACAGGTGTTTTCCTGCTACCTTATTGCATTTCCCCATCCCGCACAGTTTTCCGGTTTGATGAATCAATTTCCAATCTTAACATCAATATCCGACACACCCAGCTTTCATACCATGCCACATTAGGCAACCACGGTGCCAATTTACTGAAGAGGACAAGGAGACAAGCCTCGGGCTAGCTTATCAAAACGAAAAATGATCTTACAACCCCAGATTTGACATTGATACTAATAAAAACAGCGTTATAAATAGACCTCCATTTTATAGAAGCTATTGTGACTAGTAATTGATCTTGTGGGTCATTCCTCACTCAGGTAAAAGTCAATGAAACCATAACTAACAGATTGACTGCACTAGCCTGAAGTCCCAATACCAGCACCATATAAGATCTATTGAACTGAAAAGGACATCTTCAATAAATAAATAATTTCTTCAATAGAACAAAAACCAGTTGGAGATAGCCCATTGATGTTTTCAACTTATATTAGTGCAAATGCCAGATGCTATTGATTCAATTCTCCCAAAACAGTTCTCTAGTGACTCTTATTTGATTTCAACACAATGCATGATTAAAAAAAAAGTCATTACAAGCACAAACATATTTTCTGGCACAATTACGCATGGAGATAAGCCAGTTGCAAAATGAACACGACAATTGTTTGTTTTTCGGGTAGATCAGCAATGGGTTTCAAACATGGCACGTACTGTTGGTATGACATAACCAATCAAGACCATGCATGAATCGCAAAATGAACGCAACCTAGTCAAACAACACAGACTCTGAATAAACAATCATCTAGACTGTATAGGAACATGTAGAGACCCTCCACATGGTGTGGGGTTTGAGCCCCTGAGCATCACCCAATGATAAAAGCTGCTCATCAAAAAAAAGAAATCTATGAAGAAGACAATCTCCAAGAGCGCAATCTCCAAGAAAGAATGGACATAAAAAGACTGACCTGCAATTGTGTGCGAACATGCTCCAGTTTAGATTCCTGACCAAATTGATTCAGTGAGAAGTGAGAACATCAAACTTGACAGAACTCTATTTCATAAATGCAAAACAAAATTTTCGGTCTGATCACAAATAATGTAACAGATTCTACAAAAAGAAAATATAACTATTTATTTAATCCCAAACCTGGTCATTGAGTGCTTCTCTTAACTGAGACACCAAAGCAGCTCTATTTGATTCAACCGTTTCAAGTTGCTCAATGCATTGTTTTAAAAGGGTTTCTTGTTCCTGTAGCTCATTAGCCAAGGTAGTACGTTGTGGATCACCACCTGGAAAAAATAAGAGTAAAATTGCCATCTTTAAACAGCACACCCAGAATATCTTCAGATGTTTGTGTAAACCAGCTGAGCTCATAATGTTTTAGCTATAAATAGCCCCGAGTTGTTTATCTACAGATTGCAAGAGGTTCAGAACAGTAGCAAAAGAGAGGTTGCCTTGAGTAGCAGTTGACATTTTGCTTCAAACATGAACATAGAACATGATTTATAAGAAAGATTGAAGAAAGAAAAGCAGAGAGAAGTCAAGATTTTCAGATAACACTCCACAACACAAAAGGCACAATCCAGAGACCACAACGTTATGCAGAGCAGGACAAGAGCCAAAAGACAAACAGCAACCAAAGAGCGTATAATTGTCCTAAAATCCTTACCTTGCACACAAGCATTGTCAACATCCTTCTCCATCTTTCCCACTCGCCGAACCGCAGTCTTGCATTTATTTAGAGCCGTCTCTTCATTGGCATGTTCATTGTGCACAGACTGAAACGCTGATACTATTTTCTCTGGGGTACCTCCAATAGCCAATTTCTGGTACAAAAAGAAGTGAAAAGTGAGCTTTATCTGAAAGTCTTAACATAGAATAGAAAAATGATCATGTGATAAAGTAGCTTATATTGCTAACCATCAAAAATAAAAATAAAATAAAAAAAATAGAGCTCAAAATGAAAATAGAAAACTACTGTAGAAATATATGCATGAAGAAGGTAGTAAGACCCTCAAGAAGAGGAGTTCAAAGTGGGTCAATTCCTTACAATTTTTATGGAATGCGGATCTCTTCTTACTATCCGTACTGAACGTGAACTCTTGGAATTAAGCTCCAGAGGAGGAGGAGGATCTTTTCCAAGCATGTCTTCCTTGAGGTTCTTCCCACGAGATCCAAATACTTTCCTTTCTTCCCAGATATTAACCTATAAATGTTTTTCAAGCACCAGTTTGATGTCAGTCATGCTACTCTTAACAACTCGGCACCTTAGCATAGAAACTTTTATGCAACTTAACCAGCTATCCACTCAACCATAGACTCTAGGCTGACTTACAGGATTGTCTATCTTACAGAAAACTCAACTACATAACTGCATGTGAATCAGCATACACAACACACAACACACAACAGACGCAGCAGGTAAAACGATGACAAAATGTCACAGCCTATGAGATGTTTCATTTTGGATGACTATCATAGGTAAGGAAACATGGGTCCATCATAAAACTTCTAACCATATATTCCTATCAGAATAGCGGCAGACCGAGTTATTGCTGTGTTCATTTCATTGTAAAAGTGTATTGAATGAACACCCAAGTGTAGCATCTAATAAACGCAAAGATCAACGAATGGTGTCTTCCATCAAGTGATAATTTTCTATGGTTCCATCAACACACCCTTAAATATGAAAATGGTTACCAAACTTTGAGCACTTCTCAGGAGAAAAATTCTAGAAAGGAAATGATAGGGACAATGTGGATAAACAAGAACTTAAGCCATTGATACGAGATGCCGTAAAGCTCTAGCAACCACTAGATCTCACAATTGAAGAAACTAGTAGTCATGTACACTAGATTTCGTAACTCAGAAAATTAATAGTCATTTACACTTGAGTGTACAACAGAAGAAATGAGGAGAACTATACCAGTCTGGACACCACAACCTTTCCATGGTCACCGCCATTTTCAATGACGTACTTGAGGGCTGCAGGGAGAACCTTCCAAAACTCAACCACAAACTCATTTCCTTTGCGCCTGCTATTCTGCAAGATGTCATTTGCAAGATAGAGGAAAGGAACCCGATGCTCTTTGAGAGAATTATTAAACTGCTTCTCCCATGTTTCCACTACCTGCTTTGCCTTCTTTCGGTGAAAAATACACCAATGTGATAATGCTGGGTTTTGAGTCAAGGCAAGAAACTCTACATAAACAACTAAACTTGAAGGCTTACTCATAAAGAATGGGATTCTACGAGATTTAAGCCATATTACGCCATACAAAGATAATTGTATAGAGCCATAAATAAAAGAACAACTACCATGAATTCCGAAAAATGTAAAAAAGAAAAGAATGAAAGAGGAACATAATAATCTATATTTGTATGTGTTGTGTATACGGGGTCTGTCGGGGTACAAGAGGGGGGGCGGGGGGGGGGGGGGTTGGTTGAGCATTTTAGCTAGCATTTCTTTTTTTTTTAACTAAGCACTCTGTAGAATCCAATTATCATTCATTTTGTTTTCTTGTAACTGGTGTTTATCATTGAAGACATTGGAAAGTTTATTGATTCATATAAATGATCAAAGGCCGAGTGTTTCAAATGAGAAAGTAAACGCAGAGGAAGAAGCAAGTAAGAATATTTTTCTTCTTTATCAATAAAACGAGTCATGATTTTGAGACAACTGCCAATGATTGACTGGCAATAGAGATTGTTAAATGACAGAACAAATTGAATGGCTGTACAGGTGAACCTTCAGGACAAAGTTTACGGGATTGATAAAACCATGGTAGCAGTAAATTTCCTGTCCATTTCGTCAACTTTTTCTTGTCTTTCTGCAAACACCAACAAGAACAGCTTTGATCCATAGAAAACTTTTGGCAAGTTCAAGAAGCTTCTCCTTTTCTATAATACTAAGATTTAATCGAATAGATAATCGCCATCTCAATAGAACAGTACTTTGGTCAATACTTTGGTTGTAGGAAGAACAATGGCTCCATGTTAAAGAAAAAGCATCTTGTTAGGATCCAACCAATCGTAATATTATGTATAAATGTCGAAATTCTCCTTGTCAGATTTGAATCTGTTCATCATATGAGAAGAAAGCTTGTTACTTACATGGCAAAACTTAAACAAGGGTTCTAGAGCGAAGACTGCACAGTTCTTGAGTAGTAGCTCTGAGTTCGGATGGCTAGTTTATACTCCAACTACCAAGACAGATCCTCGTGAAAAGAGGACAAAAACTGCGAATTTGCACTTACTCACAAATAAAGGGCTGGGGAACTACAAAGCTTGTGTGGACTTAAGATGACAAAACCCTTCAAGCCTTTGGATTACAGTGAGAACAGATGTGCACCTCACTAACTCACAAAAAGAGCATGCAAATCAAGCTGGCAACCACAAAACCGCTCCTGTAAGGCATGAGACGTGCACCTCACATGCAATTGGTAGTTTCTTGCACCTCTTGTTAAACTTGAAACAAATGACGTACAGCATGACCCAGAGATATATACTTTGAAGTAAATTCCATTTCACTTGACTACCATGGTCGGATTGGCTCCCAATTCTCATAACAAAAATCTTGGATCACAGATAAATTACACCAATCAATTATTCCCCTGATGTGACAAATTCTCACAACATTCCCCATTGTGCTCTTATGCAAATAAAGCTTATTCATAAACACCACAGTGACACTGTCCATGAATATATTGACCAACTCTCAAAACTGTACAGATAATTAGCTATCAAAAACTCAAACGAGAGGATAATGCATACAGTTAACGCTGGGAGTTACAGAAAACGCTATCGTGGAGCTCCATCTCGAATCATAAATTTTATGAATAGTGCTCATAATCAAATAGTCAATGGTGTACCATCATACTAAGCAAATAATGTTGCATATAACAATTCTGGGGTATTTAGGCCCAAACTACAGGTCGTTTCTTAGTTTAATCTACTTAGAGAAATGAATTCATAAGAAGCAACAAGATCTAGTCCAATAAAAATAAATACATGTGATATAAGGATACTTTCAATGCTCTGTTGTGAATTGTTGAGCTTGGAAAGCTTATCAGCCAATATCTGTTCATTAAATACACTATTCATTCCGCCTTTCCAAATGCTCTTTTCATATACCTAAAAGCTCCCTGTGTTAGACAGTCATAATTAGAGACAATAATATTTTTCAGATAACAGAAACTAAGTTCTTGATCACATAAATATAACAACAAGAAAGAACAAAAATAGGACATAGGAATAATAACTTTCAAAACAATAGTTATTTACTCTTTATTAACCGCCAAATTCAAAATAAAAGATAAGATATAGATAAAGGGAAAAAAAAATCCCGCACAACGTGGAACAGGTACCATACCTTAGAAATTGGCCAGGACATTCTATGATGAAACAACAACCTTTTTTTTTATCACTAAAATTAAATAATAAACTTTGTTTATCATTTTGACGAAAGAAGAATGAATGCTTGAATCATAAACTTTCTTTAATAAACTTTCTTTATAATTACATGGGGGAATGGGCTCTAGGCTAGGTGGACTACGATTCGAACTGGACTTCTTGAATTCCATTCGAACTGGACTACGATTCTCATTACTTCAATCAGGCGCTGCAGAGAATCATTTCATATTTTGAACAAGATTTGGTACGTATACTCAGAAAAAGATGAAGAACATAAGCAATAAATTTGCACATAAATGGCCAAAAGGATCACATATCCTAGTTCAAGTACTTAGGAGAAGCAGATTCATATCAATCAACAGGTTTGCCATCAATAATTGATGTATTGAATAAATATGAATTGAACATAGTATATATATGTATATATATATATATAACAAAAAAGGGTAAAAGAGTGGGAAAATTTACCAGAAAAAGAATGCGACAAATATAAAGAAAATAACATAGAATTTGTGAAGAGCAGGCAAAAAGAGCAAAGATCCAGTACGATTAGGGCAAAATACTGGAAGAGAAAATAAGCAAAGTTATTGTGCGCACCTGTTCTGGTTCACTTTGTGTTCTGCTGAAATAAAGCTGCAAACCCTAGTTTTGCAAGTGAAAGTAGAGAAGAGGTAGACAGAGAGAGAAATCAGAGATGTTAGGGGGGCTTACAAGAAATGAAACTGATACAGAAGGGGTTAGAGAGAGAGAGAGAGAGAGAGAGAAATCAGAGATGTTAG